GTAGAAGAAATAGTACTGTGTATAAAAGAAACCACAAATTGAAATCCATTAGCAATACCAATATCTTTGCAGTTGGCCCCTACCTATAAAAAAAGGCTTGGTGAACTGGCAGTTTACAGTCAAACAGCTTTTGAGGAAAGCATTTCTTTTTAAAAAAAATTATTATTCAAAATAGTATGCAAACGACTAACTTCTATGTTAGATAGCTTTAGTAATTCTCATCATCATTGTCTTTTGCTCAGAGAATATTTCTGTACAATAATTGTAAACTAAAATTTGGGTGTCTGGTTTGTTTTTCCTTTGACAACAACAAGCACTAAATCAACAATAGTTGAAATTATTAAACTATTCGATGATATCTCATAATAAATTCAGTAATTTCCTTCATCAAATTCTCAGTGTTTTGTTTTCTCTTGTTGTCTAACCTATAGTTATTTTGCATTATGAGTGGTGCTGTTATTAATTTTATATTTCAGACACACGCACACACACACACACATTAGCCATTTAATTTATGCCTCCTACTTAAAGTGTCAAATTCACACACCACTTCAAAACTCACATGACATATGCAGACCCTAAGCCCAAAATATAACACTTGAGCCCACAAAAGGGGGAGGTGGCCAGTAATTATGCATAGCCATTTTAACCTCAATGGCAAAAAGCTGTAAATAAATTCAACTCACTTAAGCATTTGACAGCATTTCCATTAACAACATGCTTTTGTCATTTTCACAAATTAATGCCTGACAGGCGAACGACAGCGGAAATGTATTTCGAATGCTTACAGCTGTGGGGTCAGATAGAGGTAAGGAAAAAGGCAATGATGCTAGCTGCTCATCTTAATTAAATTTGAGGCTGCCAAACATATGCCAAGCCACACACACACACACACTCACACCACTACACATATCATGAGTTCATTGCCCATCGCAGTCCACCTGAAGTTCAAATGCGCCGAGCCTGCAAATAAGAATTGACAAGCGGAAAGCAGGAAACTTGGCAACGCAACTCGAAACTAGCGCTTTGATGTTGAAAATAATTGCCTACTTTTCGACGCCTGCACATAAATTCAGAGCCACTTTATTAGATTATGTGTAGGGGGTATGGAACTGGGGGTGTGTGTGTGTGAGTGCCATCCCTGGGGAGTAAGTTGTGCTGCCCAGTTTTTTTTTTACATTTTTGTCTTCTTGCGAGTGTAAAATTATACAAATTAATTTGGGAGCGACAATTGTGCCAAGTTTCGTTTTCTCGCGCGGTCTGCTTGTATATATAGATGAATGTAGATGTGTGTGTGTGTGTGTGTGTGTCGGTGGGTGTCTGGTTGTTTTTTGATAACAGCGGTCTGGGTTCTGGTTTTGTTGCCAGTCGCGGTTCTGAGCCGGAGCGTCGCATTAATTATGCTCAAGTGTCCTTTGGGAATGCGGCCAACACTTGTTATGCAATGACTTTTTGTACTAATACTCAGTACTGAGTGGGCGTTGGGAGCGGGACTAGTGGTGGGACTAGAGGAGTTGGGCATGTTTGTCATCAGCGTCGCGTTGCTACCAAGTTTTGATTTGATTTTTAAATTAATGGGTGCCGGGCTGGACGCGTGCTTCCATTCTCATTTTCAAACATTATTTTTTTATTTTTATAGTTGCGTTTTATCTGCGGCTGTGAGCGCAAAAGTGAAAGCCCTGCCCCAAATAAAACTAAGCAAGGCAGGGCAATATTTATCGGCCGCCAGCTGCAAAACAATATATCACAGATTTATGTCAGCATCATGAAAATGCCACGCAATGCACACAAACAGCCAAAGACGACGAATAAACTATAAAAAACATACTAAAAGTAAATATGGCTAGCAACTGGAAAAACAAAAACCAAACCGAAAGTGTGCAAAACAACTGCGAATTGTTTGCCGAAAGGGGTGAGAAGGGAGAGCGGGCGGAACTGGAATATAAAAAGCTAAAAAACATTGCCATGGCCAACAGTAAAAATAAAATAGAGCCAGCTTTGAGAAGGGTGCAAATATAGTACATACTAGCAAGGATAGATGGATGTTTGTATATACATACATATGTATTGTTACATAGAGGGTGTGCAGAATTGGCATTGAAATGTGCCCGGCGGCAACAATGATGAACAAATTGCAGAGCTTATCAAAGACGCCGGCATTGCATGCCACACAGGACACAGGACAGGAATGACAGGGAAATTGTAAAATGGCTCCAAGAAATTTATTGTGCAATTAGTTGTTACACATTGGACGGTCAAAGGATGGGAATCAGCACTGAAAATAGCAAAGTCTTTTATTATCGAACTCTTTTCGGTCAGTCCACCAATAACATTTTAGTGAAGAGGAAACATTTTTCCACAATACAATGTATCTGGGCGAATAGAAGAGTTCTTTTAAATGTTTGTTAGTGCAAAGAGAAGACCGATCGACTTCCAAGGTCTTATGGTAGATGTAGTTTGTTTGTAGTTTAATTAAAATCATAGCTTTTCCATTATTAATTACTTATATATAAAGAAACTGGCGATTTCATTTATGTAAAAAACACAAAATTACATATTCAATTATATTTTTGTATTACCTTAAAAATTTCGTATGTTTAAATCGTTTATTTACAACAATGCTTAACTTATTTATTTGCTGGATTAATTATAATCTTATCTAATTGTGGCATCTGTTCTATATACTTGTATGTATGTGACATTTTCCATTGTTGACTAACCGGGTCTTGTAAGAAAAGAATTGCGTACAAAAATCAAAACCCGTAGAGTTGGCTTTCCCAAACTTTAAATTTAGGTCCTACCTAAGCTCAGAATTAAGAGACAGATAGTATTTCGGGACAACGTTTTCATTTCCTTTTTTTTAACAAATCAAACTTGATTTGCTGTCGCATAATTCTTTTTATTAGTACATCTTTCCATCAACTTCTTTGTTTTACTTATTATTTTTTTGTGATTGTAAGTTTTCAATATATACTCCCCCTCTGTTTGTTTGTTCATTCATTGGTCGCCCCAGTTTCGTGTTTTATCGTATTATGCGCTGATTTCATTTCGCGACCCTCTGTATTTGCGTATCCTAATCAGCAGCTGCTCCATTTGCACACCCTGTGTTGTTTTGCTTCCGCTTTTATTTATTTGTTCTCAATTATTTGTCAACATCAAAGCAACTACATTTTAAAGCTTAACAAATGCCATTCGCTCTCTTTCCCTCCGCACAATAGCTGGAACAAATAGAATTACAAAAAATAAAATACATAAATAAAAATCTTGCTTTTATTTCAATCTGGCGGAGCGAGCGTCTGTGCCTGTTTCTTGTTTTTCTCGTTTGCTCTGTTTTTTTGTTTTGTTTTCTTTTTTTTTTGTTTTTTGTTTCGCATTCTGTAACATTTTTTAGATTTTCTGTTTGTACAAATTTTGCTCATTGTGTGGCAAGTAGAGCAGAGCCGCGGCAAGCAACCAAAGCCACACAGAATGTGGCAAGAACTTTTGTAAAAATTTATTTGTTTAGTGGCCACCTGCACTTCTCTGCGTCGTCCCCGCGCTGAAAATGTAAAAGGGGCGGCGGCTTGTCAAAGAGCAAGGCAGCGGAGAGACGGAAAAAATGTGTGTCTTTTTATTATATTTTAATTTCTTTTTTTTTTTGAAAGCGAGGAAAACTTTTTACTTTTTATTTTTTTGGGTGTGAAGCTGGGAAGCTGGGGCGTCCCTTTTTATGGTCGAGCTGCAGTTATTTATTTAAATGCGGCCCAAGCGCCTATTGTTATGCAATGGAAATTGTGTGCCGCGTTGCCTAGACACACAAACACAGGAGAGCCCAGTAACCCACAAACCCAAAACTGAAATAGCATTGATTTTCAAGCACCAGTCAGCCGGGGAAGCCAACCGCCTCGTGCGTTTGCACAGAAATTTTCATAAATACTGATTCAGCTTCAGCATTGTCGCCAAGCACGCTTCATGGGCGTCCTTCAGAGACGACGCTCTGCCGATGTTATTGACTTCTAACCACATTTTCACACCAAATAAATAAGCTCAAGGCTCAGGGCTGGATTCAGGCTGGCTCCTGTGGTCGCGCCTGTGGGTAACCTTGAGTCGCACAGCAACAAAGAAAAAACGTTTATAAAATCAGTGAACCATAATTTGTTGTCATGCCCGTCCTACTCTGCTCCTTATTCTGCTTTTGCCTCATAGTTTTTCTTCTTTTTTTTCTTCGCTTATCAAGATTTTCAATATAAAATACACTAAAAAGGCCTCGAAGCATTGCACTGGCAGAGCTGCCTATATAGCGTACACTCGAAGAAATACTAGTTCTAAACAAACTCAATCTCAAATCAAAATTTATGAAATAATAATCACTTATTCGACTTTGACATTAAAAAAGACTACTTTTAATTAAATTTGTTCATTTTCAAATATGATGGAGAGATTCTGACTCTTGCCTCTTAGGAAAGAGGATTGATTCTGCTTCAGTTCGGCTAATTTTTTATGAGTGTAGAGCAAATGTATATAAATTTATATATACTATATACGCACGAGTATATATGCCAGCATAAATATATATTTTTGTACATTTTCTGGTCTGGAAAAAACGCTGGTATTTGTTTGCCTTTTGCTTGCGTTTCTACCATTTTTTCTTGCCGTCTGCCGCCTGCAAAGTGAAATTTATTAGAAACGCAAAATCTGTTTGCAGATTGTGTATAAGATTTGATTATTTATGGTCAGTTATTTGCTGCCAGCACATTGAAGAAATTTTTCGTGCGTCCGTATCTGTTGTTATCAGCTGCAGTCCTTGCAGGCAGTTTTAAATCAGCTCTCATTTAGTTAGGAAAAGAAAAGCGAGAGATATTCCCACACTTCCCTATAAGCCCATCTACAAATGGGCAATCTGCAAAACCATTTACAAATTTCAAGCTAATTAATCGCTCGAGAACAGCAAACCAAAACAACATAAACAACATCACAAAATTAAACTAACAGCCAAAACTTTGACTTTCATTTCCTTTTAGTTGTTCAACTCGGCTCTCAGTTTGACTCCGCTGGACTGAAGTGAACAGAACTGGACTGCTAAACTATACAGGTAAGTTTTGGCAGCTACTCGACGCACTCGAAGAGAAAAAAGAAAACGCGTTCAACGCGATTGGTGCCCAAGAGTCCAATTGACTAACATTTTTGGCATTTGCACAAAAGGTTCAAGCAGGGGAATTGAGAAATGGGAAACCATTTACCAGCTGGCCAAATAAAGTTGTACGCACTAAAAGTGGAGAGTATTTAACAAATACTTTTTTGAATGAGCCATGAACTAGCAGCTGAGGAATAGGCAATGGGAAAAATGTTTAAAATATAGAAAAATACAAACCAGATCTAAGATCTTTAAACATAATTCAAGAGAAAATGAATTTAAGTTTGGACAAGAGATTTCATAATAGAACTATTTCCCTTGTTAAAATATGACTATGATGGAATGCTTGCCATAATGGTCGCCTCCATTTCCCAATCTGGAATTTAAATGTAAAAAAAAAAATGCTAGAAATTCTTCGTTTTATTTTAATTAAAGAATTTAAACCTTACTTGTTAGTTTCTGAAAGGTAGTATGCTCCTCAATGTTCAACAAGCGTTGTTTATTTTCAAAACTGAGCATCCGTCAATTTTATTTGAAATCTAATCTGATTAATTGGCAAAGAATGTCTGCTCTTAAACACATTTTGTAGAATTTATCATCATTCTTATTTACATTTCAGGGCAGGCTGCCAAATGTAAGCTCTAAGGCACAGACTGGCCTGAAGTCTAATTGCAAAGCTCCTTGCTTGCCTCCATCGATGCTGTGGTTGCCATGGGAAAGACAGAATATTTCTGTCTGCATTTAAAGGTCCTTCATCGTTTATCCCTCATCTGCTTTATGTGTGTGTAACAAAATTAATGTTCTTCATGAATTTTACATGACCAAAGTAGCTCAGACACACACACACACACACTTGCAACTGTTGCAGTCTCGGCTTGTGTCCATGTTGGCTACCTTCCAGCATGACAAACTGTCAATAAGTTTGCGTTTATGTTTACTTTTCCTTTTGGGTAAAACGCTCAGCTTTATAGCAACCTTAAATCGGGCCACAGCACCACAAACTATAAATGGATAACAACAACAACAACAAAAACTTGGCGCAACTGCCATTAAGGGGTTAAATAGATTTTTTCATTATTTTTGCTTTACTTTTACGCTACCTCTACCGCTGTTGCCACCGTTGTTGTTGTTGCTGTAGCTGAGGGTAAAACTTTTTCGCTGAGTTTTCATTTTTATTTCGTGCGTCCGCAAATATTGACCGAATTAACAAAGCAGGAAAAAAGTTTTACCGCAAACAATGCGAGTGGCGAGGCAAAGGATACGAAGGTAGTTGTATGAGTGACCAACCCTATGTGTGTGTGTGTGGTTTTTTTTTGTGTGTGGAAGTGGGTTACAATGTAAACTTCTGGTTGGCACTTGTCTTGGCTGTCAATAACTGCGAGTGTCAGCAACTTGATACGAACATAAACCACTTGTACGCAGTTCTTAGTTATGGCAATTAACGCACTTGCCATTTCGAACTATCTATTATCAATTTCATATGCCTCGCACACACACACACACACGCACACACAGAATCCTCTTCCATATCCTAAACAAATAGCAGCAACATCAATACATCAATATTTGTAAGCTCCTCTGCGCTGCTTGCCACAAAACAAGAGAGAAAAATCCACAAGCTGCTGGCGATGTGGCACTAAAATACAATTTATAGAAAACACAACGGCCATCAGTGTAATAGTGTGTGAGTAGGGGGGGAGGGGGGCGAGTGAAGCTTAAAAAATGCGTTCCTGTATTAGTATTTGAAAATGCCGCGCACGTATGGCCGTGTGTACGTGTCTGCTACAAATGGCAATGGCAGGCCAGCAGAGGAAACCAAAGAGACAAGGAGGAAGAGATGGGGGATGGGGGACGGGCGACGGAGTGGAAAGTCCGCCGCAATTGCAAAATGGAAAATATGTAGAAGCGGTGCAGGGAACACGCGAACTGGGCAGATTGTGGTGGGGAGGTAGGGGTAGGGGCAGTGGCGGTGGCAATGGCAATGGCAGTCTTGGTTTGACGTTTGCCAGCTAAAATGCTAAGAGCAAAAAGTCATGCAACTAAATCCTGTCGAAAACGTTTTAAACTACAAAAAAAAAAAAATTGGATTTGTGCTTAAAAAGAAACAGCGCTGCTCGTACATGTGGTACAGCAAAAGGGGTAGACTTGGTAATGGCAATGGTTGTAGGGGAATAAGACTGGAATCCACAGTAAGTGGCGAGCTTAGACAAGCACTCATACACTCATACAAACATGCATACTCGAACATTACAATGCGGCTTACCCGAACTGCTGGTATGCTAAGTGGCTACAACCAAAAATTTATATCAACTTGAACATTTGCAACTTGGAGAAGCACATATCTGTGTTGCCAGCTAAGACATTTCTATTTTAAATACGCACATATTTTGCCAACTTTTGGAATTAAAAAATGCAGACCAGCCATCAACCTGATGAACAAAAGCGAATGTTTGCATGACTAAATGCAAAGTTAGAAGCTAAATGTTAGTCAGAAATCATAAATTTTTCATCAAACTATTTACGCAATGTTGGACGATTTTTTATTATAATTTCAACTTTGCAGGCAGTACTTTGAGTAGCAAGTTATACTACTTTTTGTTTTATATAATAATGTTAGAGGGATAAACGTTTATTTTAAATATTAAAGATTAGTTCTTAGTTACTGAGCTGCTTCAAAATTTCCATTTAACTCCACAGTATGTTTATAAATGTAAATTTTATTTACTACTTTTCATTACATAAACGTTTTTTTTTTTTTTGTTCGTTCGTTGTACTTTTTTTTTAGTTTTAAGCCCAAAACGTCAACTTCGCCATATTCTTTTTAAATTATTTTTTTGAAATGATATTTTAATAGAATCAACAATAATCAATCATTTTGCAAAGAGAGACAACTAATATTCCTTTATCAACTTCATTCAATTAAAATTGTTCTTCTAAGCTTAAGATATCCTTAATAATTAATTGAAGTAATTAACAATATTATTCATTGAGTCTTAAGATATTGTAAAAGCCTCAACAGTCCTGTTAATGTATGGTTTCTGAACATCTTCAATTATATTTCACATTCTTCGCTGCTTTCATCGTTTGTCGCAAACTTATTTTAAATTATAATCATATAAACTTGATTCAATTAAATTTTTCTTCTAAGCTTAAGATATCCTTAAAAATTAATTGAAGTACTTTCTACAACATACAAGTAATTAACAATATTATTCATTGAGTCTTGAAATATTGTGAAAGCCTCAATAGTTCTCTTAGTGTATGATTTCTGAACATCTTTAATAATATTTCATACTCGTTGTTTGTCGCAAACTTATTTTAATTTTTAAACTGAAATATTATATTTTATAACCATGCGACAAAAGAAAATATGGGAAAATTAGCGGCAAGCATATTATAATTTATTTATATAATTCTGTCTAAGTAATACAATTAAGAACACAGCTTTATAAAACCGCTTGTTAGGCAGTGATAAGATAACCCAATGCTACATTGAAAGCAGACAAATAAGGAGACAAAACTAATAATTTAATGTGCAGATTGATACTTCGAATACGATTGAAGCCTAAGTGAAATCAAATAGCGGCAAATTCGAATACGCCCCACGTAGCGTGCATTTAGAAAATCTACAAAGCGAATGAAACATATCAGAGTCGAAAGCAAGTCGCCTGGCAAATAAGAACTTATATTCGCATAGCATGGGAGCTGCGTCAGCGTTAAGTGCAGCACGGCATGCAACATTGGCTGCAAGCAATGCGACTGCCTCTCCTAACTGCTGCTTCCTGTTGCCGCTCCCATCTCTCCTGCTGCCTCTGCCGCTGCCGCTGCTGCTGTGGTCCTGTCAATGACTGTCAACGGCAGACAAGCAGAAAAGCGAGAGCTTGCCAGCACGACATGGCAGGCTGTGCACCAGTATTGTGGACTGGAGAGGGGGCATGGGATGGAGATGGGAATGGGGATGGGAATGGGGATGGGAATGGGGATGGGAATGGGGATGGAGGCAAATGGTGCATTGGTGACATTTCAATTTTCACACACGCTTTGCGGTCGGAGCGCCAAAAAAGAATTGAAATGTTGCCCAGGGCACAAGGCGTCAGACGGGCACGAAACGGAAATTAAAACTCAATAAAACTCAACATGACAGGCCGGCCTTGTTCCTTCATTAAGGCAAGCAGAGGCTGCCTCTTCAAATTAATTGAAATTATCACAGCTCGTGCTCCGACTGTTATTTTCATTAGCTGAGCTTTGCATTAATTAGCCAAGGAAATGGCCAAAAAATTGGATGACAGTGGAGTACAGAAAAAAATTGGAGGGCATTGGATTCGATGAAGAGGGAGGGCGCTGAAGTAGGGGCTGGGTATGTCATGGCATAAGGCCAACAGACGCCATTCAGTTCAAGGACTTGCGAGCATTGCTACACTGCCGGAGGCGCAAGGTCAGGCCAGCTACCAATAAGCCCCAACCAGACCAGACCAGGCCGGGCCGGGCCGGGCCGGGCCAGACCAAAGACCAGACCCAGTACTCGGCCCAGCTCAGCTTTTTCGAGCCCATGGTCATGACAGCCGTCTCTCTGGAGAGGCGCTGATGGCTCATAATGAATGCATGCATGAAAACAACGCCAATGTTATTGCTGTTGCTGTTGTTGTTATGTTGTTGCTATTGTTTTTGTTCTTTCTGCTGCTGTGGCCATGTACTGACCATTAGCAGTCCAACAATGGCCGAAGCCCAGAGGCGGGGCATGTTAAATTTTTGCGCGCTCCCCTCGTTGACACTGCAAATAAATGGGTGTGGTTGAGAACTGTGTCAAGCGGCAAGTGCAACAGTGTAACAATGCAACAACAACAACAACTGCAACTGCAACTACAACAAGCGCTACAGGAAATGTGCAAAATTTGTTTAAATTTTTTACACAACCCAGCACTCAATTGCTTTGCAAAATGACTCTCACACATGTGCACATGAAATTTGAAATACATTTTTACGGCGCTTCCTCTGTTTCGTTTTAAAAAGTGGGTCAGCAATTAATGTCAGCAATTATTTCATTTACAAATTGGTTTTAAGCCAAGGATAAAGGCCATGCAAATAAGCGAGCAAGTGGCGTTAAGTACACAAGAAGTAGTTAGAGGCTCTTAGGTCTGGAAGTTAAATGTTCTATTTCCTCATTTGTATTTATATTAATTGTTCACAAATAACAGGTTTATGACAGGTTAACACTACGGACATCTTCACAATTAGAAGCTATTCTAAGACGAGCTGAAAGATTTTGCTTCACCGAATATTGCAAGAAATTTAATAAATCGTGACTCGTTCTAATCGTTATTGTTTTTGATTTTCGAAGGAAATGAAGCGACAAAAACAATTTAAAAGATAGAAATTACAAATTACATAGCTATGTAACACAATCTTAGTTAAAATAAACCTATCTGTATTGAATATTTTAAATTTAACCAATTTTTACTGAACTTTATTTTGGCCTACTTAGCCATACGTTTGCTAAAAAGTTATCGACGTTTTAAAGGGCAGGTAGATGGACAGAAGAAAAAGAGAACAGACTACAATAATTTATCCCGCCTTCATGCATCTTTCTGACTTTATTACTTTTGCTACGATGTGCCCCATTTGCTAATAGATCTACACTCTCTCTAAAAAGTAATTGCATATGCATGTACTATAAGTAAATTTTATTTTGGAAAACTAATTCTTCCATTCCCACTCTATAATGTGCTATGTTTTTGCTGAATAAAATCAAATACAAACATTGCGGCAAGCAAATGCATAAATCAAGGTACCACATAATTTTCATGGGGCCAACCAAAAAGTATTCATACACACACGCACACACACACACACACACACACACACACACACACATACACATGCAAATGTAAATACATATGTATGTACATACTTTTACAAATATGCAATGCGAAAACCCACAAGTGCATAAATTTAAGCATTTTTCCCAATGGTTGTGTTGCAGATGCAGAGACGCTGTGTGTTGTATGCTGTACATGTACTATGTAGATGTAGCAAGCAAATATTGTTTGCCACACACACACACACACACACTCCCACAAGAAAACCATTGCAATAGTAAAAACAACAACAGCATCGTTCCGCGCTTGCAAACACCTTCTCTGTTTGAAAGTGTGTGTGTGTGTGTGTGTGGCAGCAATGAAACAGCTTGAAATGTGTTGCAACTTGAGTGCAGCAGAAGCGTGTTTCTGTGTGTGTTTGTGTGTGTGTGTTTGTTTGTTCTTGTTGCACGATGCCACCAACACAGATTTCGGCTCCTTGCAATATTATTCAACGTTACCTTATGGCACAATTTCTTGCTTGTTTTTATGCGTTTTTTGCTGCTTTTCACGCTTTTTTGCATTCTAGGTTGAGATTTTTCATTTGGCATCACATGACGTGCACACACTCACACATACGCACTTATACATGTATAAAAACGCAAGCTAGCAACCCAAAAATGTCAGTAAAAAGTCACGATGACAACAAACTTTGCTTGAACTCAGGCTTGAGGGAAGACATGGTGGCAAATAAAAAATGGCGCTTGGCAACAGTTTGCTTATACGATAAGGAAATGGGCGAAGGGATTTAAGGGTTTGGGGCGGGGCTGGTCGTTGGGACCAGCTTATGGGTGCTTCACTTATTAGCCAGCGACTGGCTTGCCCTCTCCTGCTCATATCAGCTCTGAGCTGAAGTGGCAATAAGTGCCACGCATATTGTCGCCAACATATGGCGCCCCACCCTAGACTGGTTACTCAGGTAACTTTGCATATTATATAGGTACTATATGGAAAATACTGCCAACAACAGTAACATCAGGCACAATGGTTTGCATAACTTTATTTTTATTGACAGCCTGTGGAAGTTACACAAAAGTTGCAACAGCAAGTTCTCAATTTTAATCGATTCCTTAGCGGTTTGAGCAACGACTGCCAACAAAAAATAGAAGTAGTCCAAAGTATCTATATAATTAAAAGGTTGGAAAAAATATGTTTTTTGAAGCCAAATAATAAAAACAATTAAATGGGGCATAGTAGTAAACATAAAATAAATTTAATAAATTAATTAATTAATTACTCGTTTAAAACAGTTTGCTATTGAGGCTAATATTCTAATATTTGTGTTTAATTGAAACAACTTAAAACAAACAGCAAATGCCATTATTTCCCTTAAATTATTCATTTAATAGAGCTCATTGTAAAGTCAGGAAATACTTTATTTATAGCTGTAAAACCGATTTGCCATCATTTATAAACAAAAGCAGTCAAATGATTTGTTGCATCATTTTATTTCAAATCAAATTTGTCTGCATAAACAACTGCAGTTTCTACTTCTCTAACCACAAGTAATTGTAGTTAGTTAAAGCTAAACCTCAATTAAATTCCTCAATACGTTTATATGCGATTGCCATTGAAAAGGATTAGTAAATGCCTAATGCGTTTACTTGTAAGTCATTGCTGGTTTCAATTGAGCTTTGAGTGGCAGAATGTCTAACTTTCTTATGCGCTTACCAACAACTTTTCAGCTACTTACATTGCTTAAAATGTATGCTAAGATAATGGCAACTATAATGCACTAAATCAAGATGAACATTTCTGAATAATTATTCCATTTTATGATGCAATTCCAAGTTGATATTAATTAGTTTTCTGCGATAATTCACATTGCAGGCTGAATATAATCTCTTCATTTCGAATTAATTATCAACTACAAGTATGACTGCAGATTACGAGTACTGTGCAGTTGCCAGTTAGGCTTTGCAACAATGTTTTTCGAGATTTAGAGACATTTCTCTAACTTTGTTTAATTTCGATTTACGGCATGAGACAATCAATGAAACATAATTTTTATTGAAATGCAACATTCGGTAAAATATTTCATAAATAATACTAAAGTGTATGTTATCAAAGGTATTAAGGAATGCCACAAAAACTAGTAAAAACAGCCGATAGCCACGGTCAGAAAATCTTCGAAGCCAATGGTTATGGTCCCGTTCTGTTGCGTGTCACGCTGTCTGAAAGCCTCTGTAAATCGTTGCATTTGAATGCAGAGCACTATGAACTGATCCACCGAAATTTCCTTGTGATTCTGAGGATCACTTTTCTTAACTAGGAACTGAATGAAGTTGGGCGTTAGGCGGAAACCCATTTGAGTGAATGCCTGAGCCTCCTCAATGTGACCGGACGAGTCTTGATCGTAGGTCTTGAACAACTGTACCCATTCGTTAATGTAGTTGAACAACTTCTCAAATTCAAAAATATCGATGGTGCCACTGGCGTCCTTGTCGAACATGCTAATCATCAATTTGCAGGCGTTTTCCGAAAAATGCTCCCCACGCCCATTTATCAGGGCAGCCTGCAGCTCCGAGGCGTTGATTTCGCCGGATCCGTCCTGATCCACCATAGCGAACCATTGCTGAGCTTGGGGCGAGACTTGCGCATTTTGTGGGGGAAATGCTTCGCCCTCTTGGCCATACGGATTGTAGCCAGGACTGCCGTAGGACATTTTAGTAGAAATTTGTTTATTAATATGCTGGGTTTCTTAAGTTCTTAAGTTTTTCTATTCTATTCTGTGATGTAATAAGCAGATTTTAAAAAGAAATAAATATTTTAATTTACATTTTCTTGAAAGAAAATGCAAATGTTTCCCGTAGCTGAAAAATAAATATTCTAAGCAAAGTAAAATTTAAACTTAAATTAAACATGGGATTGTATCAGCAATAGAATTGGCAAATGAGTGCAAATCTCTGTATGTTTTCTAAATAGACCAACAACTATTTCATTTCCTTTTAGCAAAGCTCTACTGCCACTTATGTGTGTGTGAGTGTATGTTATAGAATGTGACTGCTGGTGGTTAGGATTCATGTCAATGGCCGTTCGACTCAGCGCTCCACGGTCGGGTCAGCGGTTTCATGTCAACGAACAGGCGCTCCGCATGCACAATTTGCCGCTGTTCGGCACAGGTCGGGCTCAAAGGTCAAGAGTGAAGCACGAAAGTCAAGCAATTAGTGTCCATGGCTGAGATTGAAAGCCCGTCTGCGGTCTGCAACAGCTGTCAGCTGCTTGACTTGGGGCTGAAGGCAGCAGACAGATATAGAGTTGGGCAAACAGAAGCGCTGGCAAAAATCAACTGCTGGATAAGTCAAACTAGGATAAGGGTATTGTTACATCTTGACATTCCTGAGACTTCTGTGCTTATGCAAATAAACCTGAACCTGTTCGTAACTTGTATCCCTTGTTCGTATTGTTGTATTTTGTTTGAACTCTGAACCACATTGCTCGCACACTTGGACTGTTGCTGCTGCTGCTGCTGCTGCTGTGAGCAGCTACTGGCAAGGTCTGTGTTTGCCTTTCCATCACTTGGGCTGCCATTGCCGTTTCATTTCACTGATTGCTCGGTGAGGAGCGAGTGGCTAGTTCATTATCCTCCGGCAATCCACTATTAATGCCCCTAACGAAACAACAACAAGAACGGCCGCACTTACTCAGTTTTTGCAACCTACTTTTACTTTGACGTTTTGCATTTCATCATGCGGCAGGCGCATATGAAATTTAATTACGCATACGCTTAGTAGTCCCACAAGTCAAGCATACAGTGAAAGAAGGTTATGTGGAACGGTTTTACATGCTCTCGCAATTAAATTAGAACTAATTTTACATAAGTCAAGTGCTCTTATGCCAAATATTCAAATTACAAGTTTATTGGTAGAGAAAAAAGTAGCATGCCTGATTGATTTTATTTGCTCCAGCTAATGAAGGTGCCGTAAATTAAACTTTTTCAACATTTTCACTGCTAGTTGATGTTTAAGCAGGTCAAGTGTCTAAACGTGTTGATTGACTTACTCGATGTTCGCAACATAAAATAACAAAAAACAGAAATACTCTTGCAATACTCCTCCTAGCAGGCAATCGTTCTATATGCAACAAATCGCAAAACCAATTAAACAACAATAGAACAATCAGTAGAGCGCATCGATTGTGTTAGTGGCACGAAATATAATTGATGAGGCAACAAATTTGCAGCTTCCTTTACCCAAATTTGTTGACACTTATTGACTAATTTGTGGGGATGTGGATGACAACCTTGATCTTAATTAATTTTCTCATATCGATAACTCATATCGCGGGCAGCAAATGTTAATTAAAGTTTAAAAGATTAATTAAAAACTGCGGTTTGTGTGCTTCTTCTACATCGAAAGTTTCAATTTAAAGGAATTTATTTTGCATTTTTTTATCGACGTTTTCTTAACCCCATAAAAGTAATAAAATCAGTCAGTGGGGTGAATATAAATATGCTATTTTTTCCAACGTATTTTTCAAAGATTAATAATATTAAATAAATTTAAGTCTACACAAAGTTTAACTAATTGTCAGTGACTTCTAGGTCTGTCTGTTGTTCACTTCTATAAAGTTCTTTAGCACTTATGAGTTGTATACATTCAAGTCAAAATAAATATAATTAATTCATAATGAAATATCAAACTGACTTCAACTGTTTAAGCAACTTTGAATCAAAGCAATATAAACATTAAATAAAATCTATAACTACCTATGTAGCTAATCAATCCATTCACTTCCATTCAATGTAAGTATTTTATTAACAAATAAAATGTAATATTTAATTGAAAATTTATACCACAACACTGAAATAACTATACAAGTCCATCAACTACCTTTCCTTACAAAGTACCATTCATAGCAATGTTCAACTACGAAACAAAATCACCTTCGCATATTAGTAACTTATATTCAGTTATAAGACCTAACCAGTTCAGTCATAGTTTAATAAGCTTTTCAAAGCATAGGTAAAAATTAATGTTCGTAGCCTCATGCTTGTTATTTTTCTATAGCACTCAGCATCAAGTTATTATATTGAAGGATAGCCCCTGATATGCAGACCAAGCCGATGTATCAACTTTCCGTTTCTATCAAATTTCATGCAAGCAATGACTACCGTAGATGTGTCCTTTGCTAGTAATGTTGTTGCATAAAATGAAACTCGACGCGACTAATGAGAGCGGCGGGACAGTAATAGTGAGCCTGCCACACACACACACACACACACGCAATTTATGTAAACGCGTGGTAAGAAAAAAAGAAGCAAAATACTTGCCACATATTCCACACTAGCCGTGCCTTTTACTTATTCATTGCTATGTCTTTCTGCCTGTATTTGTGTGTGTGTGTGTGTACGCGCCTTTTTTAGACTACATTTTATTTTCATTTTATGGCGCACTATTTGCGCTCCTTGCTGCTGTTCCTAGTGTTGCTGTTGCTGCTGCTCCTGCTTGTCTGCAGTTAATGTAATATAAGCATCATCAGGCCCTGGCTCCCAGTCCCAAAGCCTGCCTCTGTCTTCGTGTCTTTAATGGCCCAGTGCCGTAAGATATGCTACACTTTTTCCGAGTCGTGACTTGCACGAAAATGAAATGATTTGTATTCGCGTGGAAAATAAATTATGTGCAAGTATTTTAAATACGCGTCGATTTTTTCACAAAATGAGCGCGCAATTTTTCACGAGCACGAGTTGAGTGGCATCAGTAGTATGTAGTTAGAGAGGGAGGGGCTGATGAGGGGACACGGGAGACAAACAACGCAACTGCACAAAAAAAAAAGTTTCCCTACATTCTTGCCTCGAACATAATGAAAATGTCGAAGTGAAAGTAGTAAAATTTACATAATCTATGCGCACGAAAATAAATGAGAAAAAATCAGAAGGAGGCCCCGAGAAAAGCAGAAGCTAACGCCAAAGCCGAAGCCAAAGCAAAAGAGAAGAGGACTCGCTCTGTGCAAAAAAGATAAACATTTGATTAAGTGCATTAGGATGGAGATTGAGGGCACCAGCAACTGGGGGTAATGCTGCTCAGGTAATGGTTGATAGTTTGCCCGCCAGCTCGCATTTGATAGCGAGCGAAACTTTATTAGATGTGAAAAATATTAACATAGCCAAAAGCGACTTTAGGGGAGAGCTGATGCTTCGTCTTGAGACTGAAGTGGAATCTGCAATGGCAGCTGTAGAAGACAGGAATGAGCGCACATGCGATGTGTTCTAAAAGGAAAACTTCTTCAACCCATTGTGCAATCAAGTCTGGGGCGAGTGTGTGATGGCAGCTGAGGGGGGCGCCTTCATTTGTGTAAATTGACGTGAATGAGATGCGAAGTGTGTGCACACAAGCAGCTCCAAATGAAATGCATTTCAATGCTGGCACTCACTAAATGGAAGCTGTGAAAAGAAAGTCCTGGAATAGCAATTGCAGCTGAGCCTATTACGCACACACAGTGCTTGAATATAAGTGCCAAAGCCAAAGAGATATCTAGATTGAGAGTGGAATTTGCCTGAAAACATTGCAATTCTAAAATTCCGTATCAGCTATGTTCGATTCACAAATCAAAAGAGTGTAAATGATTCACTTTTTAAGAAAACTACATAGAACTTAATGAACATTTCTAATAAGTATCTAACAAGAAAATAGGAAGTTATTTTTATCTTTCTTATACCTTTCTCATGTACCCCAATAACTTCGCTTGAGAAGTAATCCACACTGCACTTATTTTCACATCACTTTCAATTCCTAATCTCAGGCATTAGAGAATTGCAACTCATATTTGTATGTTTTCTCGAAAAGGAACTCAAGCATCACCTTTAGCTTTCGTTTCGCTTCATTTGCGGTTCCGGTCAAACAATTGTCAGCTTTGTGGGAGCAAGCATAAGTTCAGATAAGCTCAATAAAACTGTCGCCTTGCCACTTAGCAAATTCATTTGCATTCCTTTTACTACCAACAAACAAACACACACAGACACACACTCACATTGAAGCGCTCCCATTCATGAAAGATCTGCCACTTCACCCCGACTCTGTAGTATGCGAGCTCACAAAGAAAATTGCAGCATCAGCGCAAATAAAGTGTTTGCCATTGGTTGGCTGGGGAGTGGAAGCCTTCCCAGCTGAGCGAGCATTTCATATATTCAAATGTGCAAAATATTCATTTATATATTTTTGTAACAACAACAACAGCATTCACAGACAATTTGTGTTTGAGGATGGGGATGTGTGTGAAAAAACGTGGCGGGCAGATGAAAGGAAAATGCAAACGTCATCGACATTACACACGACAACGAAAACAATAATAACAAAAGTAACAACAACACGTACTTGCCTCCTCATACGAGTATCAGTATGAGTGCCTACACATACACACACACACACACACACCATCTTCCATATTATATGCTAGTCTTAAATTGGTTTAACCTTTCAACTGTTACTGTTCCTGTTACTGTTACTGTTCGTGGCGACATCTTCCGCTTGTCACTTGTCCCTTTTCATTCTCTTACAAAATGCTGCCATTTTCCACTAGTCTGCTGTCGGGTTTTCTAATAAAACATTAGCCAAGACATCCAAGAAGCAGCTGCCGAGACCGAAAGCAGAACAACGATCAGGACCAGCCTCAACCTAGCGAGCAGAGCAAAAGCATTTAATATTCTCTTTCTGTAGCATTTATTTA